CACACACACACACTCACACACTCACACACACACACTCACACACACACACACACACACACACACTCACACTCACACACACACACACACACACACACACTCACACTCACACACACACACACACACACACACACTCACACTCACACACACACACACACACACACAGCAGACAGAGACACGTCCGCTGAGAACTCAAGTTTGACCTCTGATATAAATGTAATATGTTTCACTCAGGACTGAGAGAGAGAGAGAGATACAGTGACAGAAAACACAGAGCAAAGGAAAAAGGCCATAGACAGGAAAAAAACTAAACAAAATGAATGATGAAGTCCATTCCTGAAAAGAAGAAGATCAAATAGAGCAAAAGTATGTGTGAATGAACGAATGAACGAATGAACGAATGAATTCATTCATTCATTCATTTATTTATTTATTTATTTATTTATTTATTTATTTGTTTATTTGTTCGTTTGTTTGTTTGTTTGGTTGGTTGTTTGTAATAATAAGGTTATCTGTATGTTAGCAATATACTGTACAGTACATACATGAAAATAACTCACTGAGTATTATATTACAATATAAATATTCAGATATACATAACAGATTATGCAGAGTAATACAGGCATACAGCAGTAATGCGGCTAACCACCCTCAACATCAGGTGCCAAAAATAAAGATGTCTGCCACATTAGCAACATGTGTGCGGTGTAAAGTTTGTTCAGGGACCGTGTTCTTCTGCTGCTGCTGGCGACCAAATGAATAGAGTCTCAGAGCACCTTTGACATTGATACATTAGGAAGTCCAAAAGCAAGGTTACAACACAAGTACATTTATACTACAGCTGTGTCCAGCTTACTTTAGCCACACAAACAACACACTCCTCAGAGGACCAGAGAATAAAGCCAAAATCTGATTATACCAGACTACTTGACTCTGTTTGGCTCGTACTTGATTCAATTCTAATTAAATTAAATTGTGGTTTTCAAAATGTTTAGTCCATTTTTGTTATCTTTGAACTCATCTATCTGCTAGAGTACACATAACAGGCGCATTACAATGACATCCCGTAATCTCATGCATGTGCTTGCATGGTGTCTGGAAAAAAACCTGTAAAATCGTAGTAAATTAATTTACTGTGGTACCTTGCAGGCCCGTAGCCAGAGGTCACAATAAATCACCAGACCTCGGGATGTTCAGAAATCAAATTTGTTCTCTGAATGACTAATTTGCTGTTTAAAACTCCTCATATGAATGTCTGAATGTATAATTAAGTTTAGACAGTTTGCAAGAATGTTTTGCGTCCGTGGTATGAAAATAATGGCGGCGTGAACAAGGCTTGAGAGAGTCGTGAGTGGGCGAGTGTTGCCAGATCCAGCTATTATAGCCGTTTTTGGACTTGTCTTCTCCACTTAATTTTGCACTTTAGAAAGTTAATCAAGCGGGAACTTGCAGTTTGGGGTCAGTGATATCTTTATCGTATCTTATTTTGCAAAGATTTTAAATCATGTCGGTTTATTTTTCGTTTTTTATTTGTTTTTTATAGCAATATCTGGCAACACTGTATCGCCATCATGATATTATCTGTCAGAATCGTAATCAATGTTGTCAAAAACAGTAGCATTCAACACTAGTACACAAGCCTGTAGAACAAGTAGTTTACAGAATGAAATAAAATAGCCTACGCAAACTTTAGCCGTGAAGATATCTATGCTATTGCATTAGTTGCATTTTCACAGTCTTAGCATGGCTTTGTGAAAATTTTGGAGCACTAGACAAAATTGTCATCTATATAGCAATGATTCTTAATGAAAATTATAACAGTAATATGTATTGTAGGCATGATTAATAAACAACAGACAAAATTATCCAGCCCTAACCTATAGTAAAATATTAACAAATTTTGATGCAATAAATATGGTATAATGTAACAGTGTTCATGCCTCCAAAACAGAGAAAACATCTTTCACAAACATCCACAGTACATGTCTGTCTCTTTTAAAGTGTTTAGTAGTGTATATAATGAGTTGTATTTGTAGGGGTTATTATAGCACAGTTCTTAACCTCACCCCAGACCTCACTAATTTTCAAACCCGTACCTTGAACATCTGTCCAAAAACAGCTGACGGTCACATTTACCACGGGCCAAATCCAGCGATGTCAGAAGAATCCACACAACTTCACACTTGAGTTGTCTCAAGTGCATTTTAATACTAAAAATGTTACTTTATAACATTTCATAACTGGCTATAGAGGAAGAAAAGAGAGTCCACTGACCTGCACACTTGGTCCTGCTGACCAGCGGGGGTCCAGGCGGGCCGGTTCCTCCCTCTCCGGGCCGCGTGAGGAGGACACTGATGCGATATTCTGTGTCGGGCTCCAGGTGCCAGACTTTATACGTCAGTGAGTTGACTCCGTGAGTTTCGGACCAGGGAGAGTGGCTGGCCCGGTATACGATCTCTCTGCGGATCACCGGCCCGTCGCCCACTATAGAGTTGGTGTTGAGCTGGATGATCAGGTAGGTGGGGCCAGAGCGCAGCAGCTGGGGCGGAGCTATCGGTGTGGGCGGGACTACAGAGTACAGGAAGAGAAAGCAAAAGTGTTGAGTCAGGATGCATGTGGACAGGAATCTCGCTTTATTTGTTTTATCTGTCTGATTAAAACAAAAATATTCCACAATGAAACTTTCAGATCAGACTAAAATGATCAGGGATCTTGTTCAAAATAAAGGTCAGGAGACGGTTTCGAATGTTGAGATTCTTCAGAAAGATCTGCAGAGCAGCTGGTGCTACATCTGACTGACTTAACTCTTATGTCAACGAATCTTCTGTGTTTAGGATTTATAATATCTATTGAATTCTTTGACTAGATGAGCCAAGTTTCTGAACATCAAATGCACATCCTTTTTGCTGTTTAGTTTTAATATATATATTCCTTTTGGACTGTGCTTACAGTATATTTTCATTGTACATTGAACCCTTTTGTTATGAAAAAGGGCCACTGGCCTTTGGCTCTAGAAAAAAAAATGAAATTGAATACCACTGCTATATATTATATATAAAAACTGCCATTCAGCAAGGGTGATTCAAATTGATCAAAATTGGCAATAAAGACATTTTTTATGTTACAAACTGTATATGTTGTTGAACTTTCTAGTCATCAAATAACTGTGATAAAAGCAAGACATGTTTTTTGAGCATCAAATCAGTATATTAGAATGATTTCTGAAGGATCATGTGACATGCTATGAGTTATCAGTTTGAATCAGTCTAATGACTCACTCATTCAGTGATGCATGTGTGAAGCTAATCATAATCTGCAAGGGAATTATGTGTTTATACGGTAAGTATGGTGTCATGCCAGCACATCTATTTTTGACACAGGTACAAGTACAGCAAAGTTTCATGGGTCGCTCCTGTTGCTCTTTTATTCGTGCCTGTGTGACGCAAACACAGCGCACATCAGCAACTAATAACGGAAGTTAAAAAATAAACTGTAGACAGTGTGAAGTACATAATTCACTCGCACAACAGCATGGATTACTCCTTTGTTTCGTGGACTCTCAGTGACATTACCTCAGCTCCAGGAGAAGCGTGACTCATTCACTCGTTCAATCATGCCACCATCATGAGAGCCACTTGTAGCGAGCGCAATCACTACCAGGGCCATGATGAGGCAGCATGTGGTCATTTGCATAACTGATTGCACCAGTAATTAGGTTATTTTTGGGTGAGATATGTCTGCGATTGGTGGATATGAGTGTAATCAGTCCGCCGGCTCTCTCGAGGGCTCTAGTTAGGGAGGTTACACCTCTCTCAGGCTTTTGGCTTTTGCTGAAGAGATCTCTGGGTGGGGACGTGATGTTACAGTGAATCAGCGAGACGCGCTCAGGTGCTCGTGTTTGGATTGAGAGTTCAGAGGATCAGAAGAATCCAGAACGTTCTGTGCTGTGAGAGAATAACCTGACGATAGCAAAGCATAATGGCAGAAGTGTAATATAATTTGAAGTGTAATGGCTGGAATTTATTTGTTCCTTTTTCAACAAGAACCATCATCTTAGACATAAAGGGGTCATCTGACACTGATTCAATATTTAATTTAAATCCGCATGTCTTAAAGAGATAGTCCACCCAAAAATGAACATTTTCTCATCATTTACAGGACTCATCCTCATGTCGGCCCAGATGTATATAACTTTCTTTCTTCAAATGAACACAAATCAAGATTTTTAGACAAAATAATCCATCTCTGTGACTCCATATAATGCAATGGGACCCATAAAGTTGATGCTTCAAAACTATGCAAAATGAACACGAAGCTAATCCATACGTACCCAACTGATGAATATGTTTACATTATAAATCATTGCTTCCAGCCAGCAGTCATACAGTATGTGGGTTAATCAAGAGAAAAAAAAAGTGTAAAATTGTACACTGTAAGAGTGTAAAAAGTAAAAATTTATGATTTATTGTCACAGTGCAATAAATTACTACTACTACTACTACTACTACTACTAATAATAATAATAATAACTATCATTATTATTATTATTATTAATTTCATTTTTATTCATTTTTTATATAGTCAAGAGAGAGTGTTTAGAGTTTGCAGTCAAAAGACCTAGACTTACTTCCTTAAAAATAAGCGCACACCTTAAAACATGTACCAACCAATCAGATTTAAGCACTCAACAGCCTGCAGTATAGACTTATGTAACAAGAAACAAGTTATTTACAAAAGCACACTTGCAAATAAATAAACCTAGGATATAGTTGAAAGAAACACAGGTCATACCTCTGACGATTAGTTCAGCAAAGTTCGACACTGCGGCTCCGTATGTCGACTGAGTGAGGCATCGGTAGAGATCCTGCTCTCCACGCTGGGCTCCGCCCACCTGAAACCAAGCAACCAATCGACGCTCGCCGACTGATGATGTCACTGAGTACGGCGACATCAGAACACCGTTACGCCTCTGAAACAGAGAGAGAGAGGGGTACATGATGCATAAGTAAAAATACACAAAAATGGATATGCAAATCAGTGCTTTGACATGATCAGTGAGGTACATGCCATGAACACATTTATAACACTTAGACCACTTTTTTTTCTATACCAAATCAGCATTAGGTTACCATTAATTATGACATAATAACAACAACACAAGCATTTCCTCCAGATCCGGATGACAACCACATTTCTATGAAACATTTTCTACATAAATATTCATGATTATTTTAGATGTAATAACCCCACAAATCTCTCACACTGAAAGTATGGGAAGCCAAACTCCAAAAGTCCAGATTTATCAGGTAAACGAATGCGCCCTTCATGTGAGGTGGGAAACAGCGTAATTACAAATGCAGTGCATATGAATAACTGAGCGCAGTCCTGTTTATGAGTGTGAAACTCTGAATTCTAGAAGATACGTGAGCTGTGCGAAGAGGCGAGACAATTTGAAACACCACTCAATTCTAGGTAACATTATTTCTGTCATGACAACTCTCGGAGGGATTGGCATGGTAATGTACATGACAATGTTAATGTATTTGGTCTTGGCGGAATAGATCTGCTACGCTGCTGCTGCGGCAGAGCAAGTACCGAGACTTGCTACTGCCAATACATTCACAACATGCTGCTGTGAGCATGTAAGAAATACTGCTGCTGCAAATATAACATACATGAAATAACCCCCATATAGCATACATGAATCACCTCGTAGCAGATCTATACAGGTGGAGCTGGGGAAGGTGGAGGGTTTCTGAAGCAAGCTGCAACTGCTACGGCAAGCTCTAGTCATATATTTGAATGTTGAGCAGTGAGCTCATTGGCTACCGATACAGGAGAGAACCAATCAGCTGTGCCATGCGATAATGATGTCATTAGGTCAGATTGAGTTAGACCTAGCGGACTGCGCCATCTAGAGTTTCATGCCAGAACTCTGTATTTGATATGGTCACACTTTTTTAAAGGTCCAACTAAAACTAAAAGTTACGATTTTTGCCTCAATAAACTCCTAATTTGCTGCTTATTAATAGTTAGTCAGGTAGTTGTTAAGTTTAGGTATTGGGTGGATTAAGAGATCTAATAGATGCTCATTAGAGTCATTAATATGTACTAATAAACAACTAATATGCTAGTAATATGCATGTTAATAAGCAACTAGTTAATTGTGAATTGTGTTTCCTAATCTGAAGTGTTACCGTAGGCTATTTGTTAAGACAAACATCACTAACACTTACAGTATATTGATTGTTTTAAGGGTTTTATCACTTGTTTATGTTATTTTATGGTGCATAAAGAGCACAACAAAACTCAAAGCTCCCATAAAGAACTGGCATACATTGATTATGCGCTTGGCTGTAATGATGACAGCCAGATCGGTGATTTCCTGCATTGTTGAAACCCAGCTTCTCTGAATAGCCTATATCATAAGATGTCAAGTGGAGCGAGCTAGTGCTGAATGCAGAAAGTGAGATGCAGGGCGCTCAGAAAGACATGGAACACACAGTCCCTTCATTCCTTTAACACACACACACACACACACACACTCCAGGTGTTTGCATAAAGCAGCGGCTCACACAGGAAGTGATCTCAAAGAATTCAGAGCACATGAAAGAAAGAGCCTGCCATTCAAAAAGGAGAAAAAAGAAACCACTTTTTCAGGCATTATTTATTTCCATTATGTCATCTTTAACCCGTGTGACTTTCTTTCTTTTTTAACGGTACTTTAACACAGAGGCTGTCGAGATTCAATGAAATGACACAAAAACGCTTTTAAAGTATCATACACTATAAGAAGTCCACTGTAAAAATGATTTTTCTGAAGTTGTAAGTAAGACAAAGAGTATGGAGTACTTTTTACAAGAAAATACTATTTCAGTCTTTCTATTTCTAAAATTTAATTCAGTGTGTTTTTGCTGTTTCTTTGTGACTCTTTGACTATCAATTTCTGAATGAAAATAGTTTCAAAGTAAATGCTTTTGAAGCAACTTCTTGAATTTGATCTGTTTCTCACACAAAGCTACTGTCTAAGTGTTATTTTAGTAATATGTATATACTATAGTATAGTATTTACTAATGTTTTGAATTAGCTTTTGTTTTTGTATTTTATTAGTATTATTATTATTATTATTATTATTATTATTATTATTACTATCATCATCATTGTCATTATTATTGCTGTATTTAGCTTTTTTCAGTTGCATTTTAGTAATTTAGTATTCAACCTTTCTTTCAGTTAATTGCCAAAACAACATTTCAAATTTTCATTTAAGTTATTGAATGTTTATATTTTATTTCAGTTTTATTTCAGTGAAGAAAACACTTTTTAAATTGAATTCATCGATTATTAATAAGCATTACTGAAACATATTCAAATAGCTACAAATGTGACTGTGGTTATACAGACTGGGGTTATGAGTGAACGATGTGTGAAGTGCTTAAAATAACTGATAAAACTTTAGTATAGGGACCAATTCTCACTATTAACTTGTTTCTTATTAACATGCACATTAATAACATATTGGCTGTTTATTAGTACTTATTAAGCACATATTCTACATGACCATATTCTACATCCCTAATCCTAAACTTGACAACTATTTTACTAACTATTAATAAGCAGCAAATTAGGAGTTTGTTGAGGCAAAAGTCATAGTTAATGTTTTGTTAATAGCAAGAACTGGACCTTAAAATAGTGTGTGACCAAATTATTAATATTTGTTTTTTATATATATTATTTGTAAATGTAAAAAAAGTGCATCGGATGACATATGGCTATTTGAATACAGCAAGTTGGGGAAAAATAAATAATAATAATAATAATAATAATAATAAATATAGCTGCAAGCAGCAATTACGGGGCCAAGCACTACAGAAGCAAGCATCAGACCAACTGCAGAAATTAGTAATTGAAGCCATTTTAGGAAGATTTTAGTCAAAACGGCTGAAAAATCATAAATACAACCTCTAGTAACATAATTTATTGGCTTATCACGTTTGACCAATAGGTAGCGGTGTTATCAAATTGATGTAGTGTGTTATGTGTGAGTTGGCAATGGCACACAAAGTTTGGTGTCAATATGCCAAAGCATTGCAGAGATACAGCCTCAAGTTACATTTTGGCATCATGCCTCAAATTCGTTGCTGTGGTATTTGAAAACCGTTTTGTCTATCAACACAAAATCCATAACTTTTTGTCAGCATGGTCTGAAGATGACATGATTCGATTTTGGTGAAAATCGGACCAGTGGTCTAGGAGGAGTTCGAAAAAGCAATTTTTTTCAAGAAAATCAAAATGGCGGACAAGGAAGTTTGGCTGACAATGACAACATTGGTAATACTGTTCTCAGCATGACGCAAGGAATCTATTAATACCAGTCTCATTACAATAGGCAAAATTCACAGAAAGCTATTAGCATTTATTTGAAATTTCATTATAACTTTTGACCACAAGGAGGCACTGTCTCAAAACATTTTAAGTCCATTCAGGTCATGGTCTCGATGGTACATACAAAGTTTTGCAATGGTACACCAATGCATTCGTAAAATATAGCATTTTATATCATAATACTCTATTGTAGTCAATGGCAATTTCATGTTTTGTTCAATTATAGCGCCACCAAGAGGCACAATCCCACCAACTTTTGTATGTGTCCTTAGAGTGTGCTCATACATATATGTGTCAAATTTGGTGAAAATATCTCATTTTGTTTTGGAGTTATAGACATTTTTATATATGAGAACAGAAAAAAATGACTGATTGCCGACTTTGTTTGCATTTTTTTGCCACTTACTATCAACATTTTGGCAATTGGGAATTAGCATATAGCCGGCACTCTATTGATGCTTTTCCACTGCGTGGTACGACTCGGCTCGGTACGGCTCAGTACGGCACGGCACGGTTCGGCTCGGCTCGGCACGGTTTGCATTTCCACTGCAGTTTAGTACTGATTTAGAGTGGGTGGGAAAGATGCGCTCGTTCGAAACTGTTGCGTTCGTTTAAAAAAAAAGTTGCGTTCGATCCTCGCTGGCTGTGCTGATTTAATCTAGCGGGTCTAGTGT